GTCAAGGAGGCTCGCCGGTATGTAACTGTGGTGAGAACCTATGGTCAAGGAGGCTCGCCGGTATGTAACTGTGGTGAGAACCTATAGTCAAGGAAGCTCGCCGGTATGTAACTGTGGTGAGAACCTATAGTCAAGGAGGCTCGCCGGTATGTAATTGTGGTGAGAACATATGGTCAAGGATGCTCGCCGGTATGTAACTGTGGTGAGAACATATGGTCAAGGATGCTCGCCGGTATGTAACTGTGGTGAGAACATATGGTCAAGGATGCTCGCCGGTATGTAACTGTGGTGAGAACATATGGTCAAGGATGCTCGCCGGTATGTAACTGTGGTGAGAACATATGGTCAAGGAGGCTCGCCGGTATGTAACTGTGGTGAGAACATATGGTCAAGGAGGCTCGCCGGTATGTAACTTAGTTGAGAACATATATAGTCAAGGAGGCTCGCTGGTATGTAACTGTTGTGATAACCGATAGTCAAGGAGGCTCGCCGGTATGTAACTGGTGAGAACCTATTGCCAAGGAGGCTCGCCGGTATGTAACTGTGGTGAGAACACACAGGACGATACTACAATAACACAGATTCTATGAGCTGTTGGCTCAAGTGTTTCGTATAGACCTACACTCCATACTGTCGATTTTGAGTGTTCTCTAGCACTTTTGTGAGACCTATCGAACTCAATATCTCGAGCCGTTTGTATTTTTCTGATATGTATACGAGTTCAAACAGCTGAGAAAACCCCCAGGTTTATATACTACACGTTAATTTCTGATCACAACAGCCCGATGTGTATGTTCCCCACGCTGTTGGTATGGACTGTTAATACCGTCATCGTTTCTACCTTTACTCCCCGACAATGACAGGTGTTTCTATGTCTACCTCTGTGACAAAACCTATTAGTTGTTTCCCTGTACCGATACGATCAGTGTTTTCACTTCACTAGTTGATTGTTCCTTTAATGTGGCTATAGCTTCGAGAATATACACAATATACAGCTGAGTGTGTTTCGTGATAACATAAGGTTGGCGGTCTAGTTATTTTCTGCTTCAACAAGCAAATACGAAAACTGTAGGAGCCCTACATGAGCAACTTAGTTCTGTTCCTAGCTGAGCACATACATTTGATAGAGTTTTATTTGTTCCTGACTTTCTGAATCATACGAAGTTTATTGTTGCCCTGGCATAAAATATACAAGCACAATGTATGATGTTCATTAAAAGATTGTATTCGATACCTCCGCAAGCGAAACGAACTACTGATATGAATTGTAATATTCTGACGTTTTGTTTTTTGAGATATTACGTGAAATTACATTGTACCTGAAAGACTTTTTTTCAAAAACGTTTAACAGTTTTCCCCTTTGCTTGTAACGCGAGAAGAATGCCATGTTTGTTAAAAAAAAAAACGTAAAAAATATATTAGTTTTTAAACGTGTAAAGAGAGCACCAGTGAATATGCGAGCTTACGTATAGTGTCAGAATACTTATTCTCCTTCAAGTTCGGAAATCTCGGAGAAAAATGTAGAAATACTGCATTATAGAAGGCAATTATGATGAAAACCCTTAGGTAACCGGAATGTTTTCTTGTCTATCACTTATCGACGGACATTAATGTTTAAATTTATCTTCTAACCCCTTTGGGATGTGTGTCATTTTGGTTTCTTACCTTCTCTGTAAAAGTTCGAGGAACAAAAGGGCCTGCTGGCCTCAACTGCATGCCATAAAAGGCAATTTATCAGCTCCCTGCAGAATCGGGATATTTCTTCAGAGTCAGTTGTTAAGAGGCGACCCAAAAATACAACTTTATTTGCTGTCCACATTCCGACACTCGGATCTATCTGGGGGGTTTTGCCCCATTTCCCTACTCTTTTTCGGTTGTGCTTCCATAGGCACCCATCCTAGCCCACTTCATGACATTTCAAAGATATGCCACTGTGGAAAGCCCTTGAACTGAATGAACAAAGGGCAATAACTTATGGAAAAATTGTCGAATCAAAAATCTTTTCAGGGAGACAAAACTTCATATCATGATTATAATGTACCCCAAGTTAACAAAGAGATCGGTCGAAAAATGTAGGAGGAGATTGCCGGACAAACAAAAGTTTACGCCGGACGGACAGGAGATTACCGGACAAACAAATGTTTACGCCGGACGGACAACCCCCATACCATAATACTTCCGTCAAATTTAACGGGCGTATAACAATTAACTTGTTTTCAACAAAACAAAGACGACAACATAAAATCGGTAAAGAATACGTAATGTGGGATCAAGTGATGGATGAAACTAGTTACAATGTAAACGTTTTTTAAGTTTCAATCGCAGTTAAGTTTGTAAATGTCTCATCGTGAAATTCATGTCGATTATTATTTTTTCCAGGCACACTTTTACGGAGAGTATTCCAGAAAATGCACTTGTGACCAGATTGTACCGGCAGGTGAATTCGTTTAAAAGGTAGGTCACTCCACATACCAACAACACCTAAAACTTGGTATCCTCAGGGATGCGCCTCGTTTTTTATGTATATCTTTTGCACAAACTAGTTGAATTATTTAAGGATTGAATCCTGCTTTGGTCGATTTCATGGGGTGATGAATTGAGTTGGTCTTGAAACAAATTTAATGAACTGTATCCCCCCATGAAATCGACCAAAGCAAGATTCAATCCTTATATTTCAATCAACGTGTTTTTTTCAATAATTGGAACTTGTGAAGTCCATTCTGATCGTTTGTCCCAGGTTCTGGAGCTTGTTCAAGTTAACGTATTGACGCAATGTAAAACAAATATAGTCCGTCATTGAAGGACCATCATACAACATGATGGTGTACGCTGATATTTCAACACAACCAAATTATGTAGAAACAGAACACAAAAAGCATATTTCAAATGTCATATTTAATTTGTGTTGGTGAATTCAAAATATATCAAATTTTCTGATGCGTCATCGCGGAAGAATAATGTATAGACGTGGTGCATAGGTTCAGCTGCGAGTCTACGGCAGCCATCTTTTTACAAGCGCGAAGTGGAGAGCCGCTAAATTTCGAGGTTCTACATCTTCTGGAATGTGAAGCTGCAGTAATTGAATGTCGAATTAGACAGCAAACCAGACGTGGCTTGAAAGGACAAAACATTTAATATCACATTTAGCTGTTTTACTGTATTTCATATAAGACGGGAGGGACCACATGGATCTACCACAGGGGTTCGTTAAACAAATCTGAAATTCACATGTCTTTACTGATATGGGTCACAGCACACATAAACATACAATTATACGCATATGCTATACTGATATGGGTCACAGCACACATACACATACATTTATATGTGCTGTGACCCCTATCAGTTATAGCAGGATATGTGTAATTCAGACATTTGTTACTTGTGACGAACCCCTTTGGATCTACGTTGTTTTCGATTTGTACCGGGGGTTGATAGAATTGGTAGCTGGAGGGAGAATTTCTAGGGCAGTACATGACTTGTCACCGTGAGCTGATAATATTTTGCTGTTTGATCGTTTTTGGTTGTTTGAACAAGTTCTTGTGTAGCTTCAATAAAAATGTAAAATCTCATCAGGTGGTACAAACGTCAATAGTCATCTCCCTTCGCAAAATCATACGCACAGGCAATGTTAATCTGGTCAAATTTATCGGCAAATGAAACGGGTTACATTTGGTAGTTGCATTGAGTCCAACTCGAGTAGGAATTGAAACATTTCATAAATGAATATTTTTCATTAATAGGATATTACAATTTCCGTAAAGAACATTAACTACGAACAGCAAAATAAATACAAAAGAAAGAGGTAAGATGTTATAGGCTTTGATATGTAAAATCTGGACATTACGACACACCAGACCTATACATACCGTCGTTTATGTGGCTTTTGTTGATTGTGTTCAATCAAAGATTACATCCCAATCGTAGGAATTATTTGAAACAAACCGCTTTAAAGACGGTTTAATGGGATGTTTATCTATGGGTGTGAACTACCGCTATCAAGTTCTGTATCTCTTCGTCCGGCAGATATCCCTCAACACATGTTTCACCGATATACAGCTCCAATGTGTTTAATTGTTTATCGGGATTTATGTACGTTGGGTTGTATGTATACTCTCAGTTAATGCCCATTAACTCCTGTGAAATGGTTACTTCCTCTAGACATAATTGGATGATAATTTTCACATTAGCGATTATGATCGGCATCGAGGCTCCAGGTTACCCTGCTCATTTGACATACGACGACATTTACCATGATTCGGACTAATACTAGTCAGTTCAAATAATTAAAATGATCATTAAAAATCTCGCACCGATGGAAACGTTTTCGTGACATGAACGTATAAACATATTGAATTGTCAACTACATTTGCGAACGGATCAACATAGTTTTATTTTAATTGGAAGATACGTCTTCCTTTTCAAATAGTGGTTTAACATGTCATGTCTGACTAGCTACTCAATGGCCCGTTGGGTTGTCGGGAAGTACGAAGCAAGTGTCCTGTCTTCCAGTAAGCTACGGATCTCTGTCTTCTTGGGGCTTTATTCTATACGTTTGGAAAAGATTACGGTCATCACAATGACCTAATTGCAAGCTGTACTATTTTGATAGATGTATGTACATTTCTAATTAATCTTTACTCAATACACCGGCTGGAGATTTTGATGTTAAATTGTCAATACACTTTACAGTTGTTGTATGAATGCGTTGTGAAGTTAGTGCGGAAGGTAGTCCCTTTTACAAATTGCTTTCATTTTTTGCCAGAAATGTTCGCTCTCAATAAACCAGTATTTATATGTCACATTGGTTTACTATTGAAACCAATAAAACAACAGATATTTGTCTTATTGGGAAGACGTCACCAATTTGGTGATGACGTCACAGGCGCGGGCACATCCCTAGTACTAGATTTGCACTAGTTCGATCTGTTAGAATAGCATGACTGAATCCTGTTCTATTGATATATATATGGTTTATTAACAACATAAACATCAACAGAGCAGGACTCAATTCTTAAATCATACATAGTTAAAGGATTGTTTATATATTATTAAACAGTCTGGCCTTAATATACCTATGGACCTTAATTTGACGGTGGTATGTGGTGCAGGCAACGCGCACCGCTACGGCACATCTTGTTTTCTCTACATCGTTGATATCTTTAATGTTTTTTAGTTTTATTTTACTTTCGTCTGCCTTTGTAGATTGATTTCGTTGAAAATGTCATCTATACATCTATTAGAGTATAATGTATGCGTACCTTGCAGTTGCTTAATCTCTACCTTCTTCGGCTTCTGCCAAATCGATACTCTAGTTTCAAGGTTACATGTAGTTGTTCTTTCAGAGGTGAATGACCTGGCGGAAGAAATTTTATTTATTATCAAACTACACATTGATTAACTTTTAATCCACAAATGGAACAGCATCATGCTGAAACTGTATCTTAATAACATTGCTTTAATCTTAAATATCATGTTTGACAGAAGCCACAAATGATATAGCAATATATATATATAAAAACCCAGCTTCTGTTTGTTTTTGAGATTCTGGTTAAATCAAACACAAAACTAAAATAAATCTTGTATAAACCCTTTCGGAAATTAATGCAAGACGCATGAAGACGTTTTAATAGCAAAAACAAAATAAAGAAATATCCTGGTTATTCCTTCGATATTTTCTTTTTGTCACAAGATGAGTTTTCCAAAATTCAAACAGAACAGGAATATTTCTTCCCTTCAATCAATAGGGGATAATTTCATTTGTCATAAAATCATCACTAAAAGAGTGTTTGACACACAATCGCGAAATAATAAGAATACAAACAGACTGAGTTGCAGCTCTGTGAACACGAAAACTGTCTCATATAACACGTTTTGTTCGGCAGGGTTACAAACTAATAGCATGCCTCTTCCAAACGTAACACCTTGTGTAAACTTGGAAAAGGACTCCAAATCAGCCGTTTTGCACCGTTCTTTTCAATATATCAATTTTAATCAAAATGTATTTTCAAATACAATAACAAACATAATTATTTTCCTATGCAATATTTCAAATTAAAGTTGCAAATCGGGGGTTACATAGTGTACTTGTCGCGTATCTTTGGCAGTTATAGACAACTTGTGTACGTAGGAAACCGTCTATCGAACCCCGAGGAAAGTTCATCAAGACTGAAAATAGAAATAATCCCCAGTGTCAAGGATTAAATCGTGTATGTGAAAGACTACTGGTACATGTAAAGGCAAAAGTTGTTTATTTTACATTGAGTAAATATAATACAACAAATAACACATTACTTTAATCAATAACATGTAACATGAATATGTTAAGTCGCTCTTTAAATTTATTTTAAGGTAGGGTTGCGGGGTGCCAAATTATTGCGGTGGCCAAGTGGTTAAGGCGTCTGACATTCTACTACCTCTAACCCTCCACCACTGGGTCGCGGGTTCGAGGCCTATCTAGGGCAGTTACCAGGTACTTGCTGTAGTTCGGTGTTTTTTTTCTCTGGGAACTCCGGCTTTCCTCCACCACCAAAACCTGGCACGGCCTTAACTAACCATAGCTGTTAATAGGACGTAAAATACAAACAAACAAATTGCAAGTTATCAGATATTTACACTCTAACATAATGTGTCATATTTAGTGTAATTTTCTCCTTCTCTAGACTGTCGATCTTCGACGATTTTGTCATTACCTATCCGGTTGTCCCATGATCGAACAGGGCTGGGATCTTCTGTTCTATTGCACAATATATACTGTTGCAGCAAATCAGTCGTCTCAAAATCAAACCCATTTTCCTGGAAACGAAATTTGGTTGATAACAGATCCAATGTACTTTTATTAAAGACATAAACAACAAAACAATAATGTCCAATTACGTGTGTCTGTAAATCAATGCCAGTTTCTGTATTCTCAGATGTGATATCTCATCAGGCATGTATGTATTCTTTATTTTTAAACATGTAAGGACATAAAGTTTAGATTATCTAACAATTATGATATCTTGTGGCCAGATCAGAATTACATCAATATGGGCATATGATTCATAGATTCTAAAACGTATTCATCATGTAATATATTATTAGTTAAACAAAACTGATACGGAAATACGCCAATAATGTATCACTCAGAGTGATTACATATGCGTTAACCGATGTTTCCCGGCGAGTCATTATATATAAATGATCATAAGGTAGATAACAGCATACCACTATACACTAAGTACATATCTGTGTCTGTAGTAGGGAACAACAAGCAGTCAGAGAAGCTCGGCAGACATTGCATCTCCAATATTATTATCTGTGTAATCAAATAGTGTTTGATAGTGATCGTCGAGTCCACTTGGTGACAGAGGGTATAGCATTTTTATAAATAATTATATCTTATCGTTATTCTGCTCGCGGTAATATTATCATTTTGATACATGTGACGTATACCGGTGTATGTCCTATCTGAC